TCCGTTTTCGACGTTCTTTATATCGACGCGAAGGTGAGATTATGCTCTACAACTCTCGTTTAGACTCAATTGGCTAATTTTGACTTTATTTTTAATATATTATAAGTATATTACTTATATATTATCTATAGTAGGCCGGGATAGGAAAACTCCATTCGAAATTCATAACTCCTTCATCTGAACTCCGTTCCCTCCTGTCTTTTTATCGTTCGAATACTATCGAATAAATCTTCAACTCTTGTTTAGATCACTAAGGATAGATATCTATCTACCTTAAGTTCACTATTTACGTCGCGCTGGGTCGTGCCGGTTCTGTCGTGAAACTTCGACAGGTCATAACTTCTTCGTTATAACTCGGATTTTGGCGTTTTTTGTATGCACGGAAACCTTGTGACATATACTACAACTTGGTTAAGATTAATCCTTCTAAATAATATTCCATAAAAAAAGTCATTTTTGATGCTTATTGTCTCTAAATTGACTAGCCCGGATCTACGAGCGTTACAGTATAGATGTAAATCTTTCTTCATCAAAGATAACATCTCTTGACTCTATCACAGTGTTTATAGACACAGAGTTATTAGATTCTAAAACATAGAATCTATATGCTTTGGAATAGTCATCATATCCAATGAAGATACAATCTACAACTCTTTCACCCAATGTTTTCCTTTTGGGTTCAGTGAGTCTTATAAATGCTCTACAACCCCAAACTTTGAAATAACTCAAATTTGGTACCTTTTTACACCGAAGTTCATAAGTAGTATTCTTACTCTTTTTATTTAGAGTTATGTTCAAGTTGTAACATGCAATTAACATTGCCTCACCCCCAAACCCTTCACTTAATCCAGAATAGGACAACATGGAATTAACCATTTCTTTCAAAGTCCTATTCTTCCTTTCAACTACACCATTTTGTTGGGGTGTATAAGGGGTTGTGGTTTGATGTATTATTCTGGTTGATTCAAAATAATTTGGATCATAACACTCACCACCTTTATCAGTATGCAAGACTTTTATTAGTTCATTTTTATGTAGATCTACTTGTTGCTTATAAATTTTAAATTTATTAAGAGCTTCACCTTTTGAATGTGGCAAATATTCATAACAATATCTAGATACATCATCAATAAAAGTAACAACATAGTTGTTGTTTCCAAAGGAAGGTTTTGCATGGAAATCATATAAATCACTATGTATAAGATCCAACACCTTGCTTTCCCTAACAACATCTTTGAAAGGTTGTTTGGTGATTTTAGTTAGCATGCATGTTTTATATGTTGCATTATTTTGTATATAAAAAGCAAGAATTAAACTCATTTTAGACATGTCTTTTAATCTTTTGTAATGAATGTGTCCTAGTCTACCATGCCATAATTTAGGTTTATTAAAATTATTATTGGTATTAGTGGACGACATGCAAACCGAATTATCAATAGAAGGATAATTAATATTTAACCTAATCATTCCATTACATACATATCCAAAACCCATAAAAGAACCATGTATTGACAAGATATACTTGTCACTTTCTAACACTTTTTTGTAACCATAATTATTTAATACAATTTCAAACACGAGATTCTTACGAATACCTAGAACATATAGAACATTGTTCAAACACAAACATTTCCCAGAAGTAAAAGTAAGTAAAATATATCATACGCTCTTGATTGGTTCAGTTGCAACATTTCTCATCTTCACAACAGATCCATCTTCAATTGGTTGAAAGTCCTTAAACCAATGTAGATCTTTGCAAACATGACTTGTTGCTCCCGAATCAACCCACCATACAACATTATCATCTTTCACATAAAATGCTTTAGAAATCACAAAAATATAAGTCTGAATATATTTAGAAATCTGCATGAAAACAAAAAAATCTGACCTTTTTGCTTTTCTGGATCCTTGGATCCACTTGGTCCAGTACCATCCTTGTTCACTTTATGAAAACAACAATCTTTCTTGAAGTGAACCGGTTTGTTAAAATTCCAATAAACCACTTTAGCCTTCTTGTTGGAAGACTTGTCATCCTTTTCTTTAAACTTCCTTTTTCCATTAGACTTCTTTTGATTCTTTGATCCATCTCCATCCACCATGTTCAAAGAAGAGGAACCAACTTGGTTCTTTCCTCTGGGATTGTTATTAAGTTCTTGAGTCCTTAAAGTCTCTTTAATCCATAAATGGCTTCCAAGTTGAGTCAAAGTCAATTCATCTTTGTTATATTTCATATTGTGTTTAAATCCATCCAGGAAGGGAGCAGTTTGTCAATAATCACAGCCACAAAAATGGCTTCATCAATTTTTAGACTATGTAGACCAAACTATCCCATGATCGTTAACATTTCATGGAATTGTTCCATAATAGGTCCATAGTCAACCATCTTGTAACCCATAAAGTTACCAACCATAAACTTTTTACTAGAAGCATTGTCAATTATGTACTTGTATTCAAGAGAATCCCACATTTCTTTTGCACATTCGATATTTTGATAGATATCAAAAAAAGAGTCAGACATACCATTGAGAATATGACCACGACAGATGTAGTCATCATTGTCCCACTTAGATCTCTTCCTTGTTGCCTCCAAAGTTTCATCCTCAGCAAATTTTGGCATGGGTATACTCAGAACATACACCACTTTTAGAGTGTTCAGGAGGAACTTCATCTTCTTCTGCCATCTATGAAAGTCTTGGCCTTCAAACTTCACAAATTTATCAAACTTGCATGTTATTTCCTTAACATAATCGTCACTTGCCATGATCACAGAAATACTTTAATATTTGTTAGAAATTTAGGGTATAGAAAGGCTTATAAATTCTGAGAATTATGATATCACTTCCAAATTAAAGTATTTGGGTGGTACTCCCAATCTTTAATCGAATAAGACTCGGAATACACTCAGAATACGAGAGCAAGAACATATAATTTAATTGTTATGAACTTCGAATGTACCAGAAAAATGAGACCAAAAACTGATTTATGAGTCTGAAAATTTTCATATGACAGTTAACTGTCATAAAACTACCAAAAGTGACATAAAAACAGGTATTTAGATAATGTTCAAACCAAGGATCAATTCTTTGAAAAACCGAATTTTTGATGCATTTTATGATCTTGACCCCTATTAGGGGTACTGCCCTTGGACCCTACTCCCAGGGGCGCTGCCCCCAGAACTCCATTCATTCAGGGCTTCACCCCTAAATGACAGTGTACTTTAAAAACTTGATCAAACTTAAACAAGTGTGCACTCCACACCTCCCTTACTTGTTTAATACCTATCAATATCATTTTTGGTCAACAAATTAATCCTATTACACTTAAATAACATTAATGATAACAAATCACCAACAATAAACTCTTGAAATGAATACATATAATTTGGGATTTTGCTTTGGGTAGTGATTTGTATACAATAATTTTTAGCCATACATAACAATTTATGTTTTAGATGATTCTACTATACAATTATATAAAGCATAATTTGTTGTGTTTGGCTAAAAAGTATTGTGTACGGATCATTACCCTTTTGGTTTGTCAGAAAAATGTTGTTTTTTGGATTTTAGAAACCTCTTTTAACAAAGTTAACTGTCATTTTACGATAGGAAATTGATGTTTTGATCAAAAAATATGTGAGAAAATCTACAGATAAATCCTTAAGTTTATGCTTCATAATCGATTTACTCTTTATTTTATTTTAGTTAATTAAGTCCCAAAACCGGAAATTGTATTCATTTTGCCCTTTTACCTGATTAACAGGTTATCCAACTTTCAAAAATTATACTTTTGGTCCAGATTTTAAATTGGATTAAAAATTTGTTCAAAATTTTACATTTTGGCTTGGATTCTAAATTTTATTATGAATTTAGTCCAAAATTTATATTTTTGGACTAAATTTCAAAATTTTATTACAAATTTATCCTAGATTTAGTTTTTTCGCATCGTTTTTTTCAAAAAAAAAAAAAAAACAAATATGTTTTTTTGCTTTATAAAATCACATTTATACAAATCAACATATTTTTATATAAAAAACCTTCTTTTTTCAATATAATTTTTTAAAAATATTTTTGTATACGAACTACGTATTTATAAAATTAGGTATTTATTAAGTGTGTGTGTGTGTATATATATATATATATATATATATATATATATATATAAAATCAGTATTTTTTTAATAAAAAAAATATATGCACACACATAATTAATAAAATATATATATACAAACATCTATTTTATAATAAATGTATTTGTATACAAACACCTTTTTACAATATACATACATACATATATATATATATATATATATATATATATATATATATATATATATATATATATAAACACATATTTTATAAACATATATACAAACAATTATAGTTTATAAAAATATATGCGAACATGATTTTATATATATATATATATATACTTAATAAATACCTAATTTTATAAACACTTATTTTCGCATACAAAATGTTTTTTTTTTCAGAAATTATATAGAAAAAGGAAGTATTTTTATGTGAAATTATGTTTCTTTAAATAAATATGGTTTTGTAAAGCAAAAAAAAATGTATTTGAAACAAAAGTTTAAGTTTCGGATCAAATTTATAATAAAATTTAAAATTTATGCCAAAAATGTAAACTTAGACCAAATTTATGATAAATTTTTGATCAAGATTATAATAAATTTTAGAATCTTGATTAAAAATGTAGTTTTTAAAAGTTAGACGAACTGTTGTTCAGGTAAAATGATCAAAAATAAATATAAAGGCTTTTTATTTATGACTTAATTGACTAAAAAATGAAGCTTAAACGTTTTTAATTGATTTTCTTATAGATATAGTTGGCTTTGAAATAAGATATTTTATTAAATACTTTTTTTTCTTATAAATACTATCATACACAAATTACTTGTTACCTGATGTGTTTTGTATTTTTTTTTTTTTTTTTTTTTGTCAAATATACAAACTTTTATTTTATAAAAGTATTGGCAAATACGTTATACGTTTATTATTTTATTAATCTATCCAAATTCAGATATCGCGCTTCAATCAAACACCACCGGAACCACCGATGTTGCATTCCGCACCCCACCTCCTCCTCTCCTCCTCATCCGCCGTTCTCCTCCCTTCTTTCTCCCTCCTTCCGAATAGCCGTTTCGTCAGAGTACCTAACAAACCCTACTCTCTTTCACAACAATATTCGACCAGGCCTCTTGCCCCATTGCTAGCTCAACTCCCCGATGCGGCCTCGCCTGAAGAAGGACCCATCGAACTCCCCTTCTCTATACCGTCATTTATCTCCACCGACGATGACCCTACCACTCTCCAAGTCGCCACCAGCGTTCTCCTCACCGGCGCCGTCTCCATCTTCCTCTTTCGCTCCCTCCGTCGCCGTGCAAAGCGCGCCAAAGAACTGGTTCATACTCTCTCTCTCTCTCTCTCTCTCTCTCTCTCTCTCTCTCTCTCTCTCTCTCTCTCTCTCACACACACACACACACACACACACAAACACACACACTTGAATGCGTTCTCAACTTATCGTCACAATTTAGCATCTAGCTCTTGTATTAGTGGTATCACAGGGGTTGGATTTGTGTAAACCCTAATTAAGATGCGCAATTGAACCTATAGAAGTTATATGCGAGTATTAACAATGATTGAATTGAGAATTTTATCTATGGATTAGAAATTTAGGTCTACAGGAGTAGAAACTAAAAAGACTTTGAAGGAGGAGGCACTTGAGAGTTTAAAAGCAATGACGCCGGTTGAGGCAAATGCTCCTCCGTCGCCTCTTCAGGCGTTGCTGGGAGGTTTATCTGCCGGAATTATTGCAATTATTCTTTATAAATTCACCACCACCATTGAAGCTTCTCTGAATCGTCAAACCATTTCTGATAATTTTTCGGTATGAATCAATCCTTCACTGCTTCATAAATCATAATTCTAGTATTGTTTAACTGGGAAATCTGATTGCTACTCAATTTCTTTTTGTAATTTTACATTTGTTTGTCATCTTTCTGCTCAAATTATCATAACAAAAGTTTTTGCCTTACAGGTCAGACAAATCACTATAACCATAAGGTAAACATACAATTGTTCATCCATCTCCTCTTCCCATGACTTAAGTTTCAAGAAGATTAAAATGCTAAAAAGATGTTTGTATTTGATGCATGTAGGACTATTATAAATGGTATATGCTACCTTGCCACATTTGTTTTTGGCATCAACGCAGTAGGGTTAATACTCTACTCGGGTCAACTCGGTCTCAACTCAATAATGGGAGATTCTCCAAGTGAAAAAATTCAGAACAAGGAAGAAACACAATCAAACTCCAATCAGACGGAAACAAACATAAATGATGAAGATCAAAGCAGGCAACAGTGAGATAATAGTATTTGAAGTTTGTTTGTAGTTTCTGTGTATACCATATTTTTCATTATTATATATCATTAATCATTAATTTTGACAACGTTGGTAGCATCATATATTCTTTTCTTTTTTACCATAGCATTGTACTTAGAAGAATTCGTCTAATTATAAGCAATGTTATTAGAATCCAAGCGACTTTTATATAGATTTTTCAAAAGTAGAATGTCTTAATAAGAAAATTAAAATGAAAGCATAATGTTATAATTGGGTGAATCTTCTAAGGAATCATGCTATAACGAGAAAAAAGAATATAGAAGCATAATGCTACAACGGAAATAAATGAATGTATAATTGTATAATACACAAATAAATTCAAATATTTGTTATTTCTTACATCTATCTCTACTTTTTTAACGGATCAAATTAGTTGCATCTATTATTTTGTTCATATTTAAAGTTTTATTGTTAATATGTCAAATATGATTTAAAAACAGTAGAATTATAATATTTTTTAGAAGGTTGCAAAAAGAATACTAAACTTTGTAATAATGTAAGATATTGGACTAGTGAAGAACTGAAGATATCGAAAAGAGACGTTTATTAAATGACATTTAGAAACTGCTAGAAAGGATTGTTATGCCCTCAACTTGTTTATATTGGGGTTGAGATTGAAATTAGATTTGAACAGTTGAACTATTGAATTTGTGTTCATTTAGCCACCAAACTTTGTTTAACTTGTAAAATGCCATTGAAATAGACGCTTAACCCTTTTTTATTATTTGTTTGCTTTACATTGCAAATCACATTGATCGTCAAGGATCATATTCTTTTAATGTGTATATATAAACTTGATATATATATATATATATATATATATATATATATATATATATATATATATATATATATATATATATATATATATATATATATATATATATATATATATATATATATAATTAAAAAAAAAATGCTAACAATTTAATAGCAAAGATATACGATGAAAGTTTAATAAAATTTTGAAGGACTTTGAAGAGTGAATTATTTTGTGTAGAACTGTGGATTTTCTTGGGCATATAGATGAATGATGAATCGTGAATACTACTTTTAGAAATGGGATCGGTCAAACATTGACTTCAATGTCGTTTGGGTGGTCAAAATGCAAGAGATATCATGTTTAAATAAAAAGTAAAATAGACATAAAAATATCATATTTTATATTTTTAATATAATATATATGAAAAAAAATATATATAAAAAAAAAATAAAAAACTTTGAATCTTGCATTAGAATTTTATCATTAAATGTATCAACAAAAACACTAAATTTTGTTTACCTTGTAACACACCAAACTTGTTATTTTTGTTCAAAACGGATACTTGCTATCATTGCTATATCATCGATCATAAATACCAATTTGCATAAAAAAAAGGTTAGAGTTAAATTTTACAAATTTAATAAAACTTAATAACTAGATTTAGGATAAATTTAATAATTTAGTGTCTGATTTGGACTTGACACTTTATATTAATACGATATGACAAATTTATGAAAGCCAGGATTTCAAGTAATTTCACAATTATGACAACGATCACAAAAACAAATGAACAAAACAAATCTAGTTCTCACAAATGAACAAATGCAGGTAAACAAATCAAGGAAATTCAAGAAAATTGTGTAAACACACACATATCATGGATGCATGCATAACATACTTGTACAATCCAAGTTCCTACTTCCATTCCCACTTGTACGATACCACCACTACATAATAATCAGAAAAAAAAATGTACAAGCATGCAAAGCACTAACTCAAAACCCTAACCCAGCCGCGTCGACACCAAATGTACCCCGGCTCAGCCGCTCCAACTTCCTGTTTTCCCAAACACAACTCTCCGGTAGTAGCTTAGCCGCCGCCGTTTTCATCGGCTCCGACTTGCACCTTGTCAGCACAAACGGTTCGTACCCCATCGCATCCGCCAGTTTCTGCTCTAACATCGTCGCCATCGACGGCGGTGCCGGTAATGAACAAGATGACCGCGCCGGCTGCTGTAACGACGATTGGCGTCCTCCGTCGGCCACCCTCATCACATTGTTTATGGTGGCAATAGCATTAGCAGCAGAACAAACCCTCGATTCATCTTTGCCATCCGCTTTGACCACCGGCGGCGGCGGCGGTGGAGGTTTTCTTTTATTGGAGTTTCGTCTGATGAAATCTGTACTACAAACCCATGTTTCCTTTGAAACCTCCATTGATAACTTGGGCTCATACATCATCATTAACAAACAATCCGGCAACACCATCTCACTTTCTCTCTCCTCTTTCACCTCACTTTCTCTCTCTAAAACTTCATTGCTGACCATTTCTTCCTCAAGGTTTGCAGAGATCTCTGGAACTTCAGTCATAACCATTGTTGAAACCTCTTCTTGAGCTTCTTCCATGCCAGAATCAACTTCATGTTCTTGAATCTCAAAATCTTGATTCACATTTTCTTCAAACAAAAATTCAAGACACATACTTTCTTCTTCTTGATCTTGACCCACTTCAGTGTGTTGTACATTTTCATGTTCTTGATCTCGATTAGCTTCATCTTGTTGTACATTTTCATATTCTTGATCTTGAATAGTTTCAACTTGCTGTACAACGTCAAGTTCTTGATCTTGAATTGGTTTGTCTTGTTGTACATTTTCTTGTTCTTGATGTTGAATAGCTTCATCGAGTTGTACAGTTTTTTGTTCTTGATCCAAAATCATGACTTGCTGAATATCCTTTAAATCTTGTTCAATTTGATGGTCATGGTCAACAAGTTCTTCATCGTCTTCTTCATTTTTAGCAACAGTTGGTTCCCAAGATCGATGTGTGAGAGCTTCGAGTTTCATGGGGTCAGATCTGCATCTCATCAACAACAAAGCATTTTTTGGTGGAACGCAAATGCTTACTCTTGCTTCGTCTTTATGGCCTTCGATCCTGTCGTTTATAATCTCCAGATCTTCAAACACATGTCGTCTTGATTTCTTAACAACGATTTCTTCGTCGTCGTCTTCTTCTTCTTCTTCTTCTTCTCCGACAACCAATTCGATGTCTCTCTGACCACCTCCATCTCCGTCCTGCACTGCTACCAGCCACCGTGCAAACACTGCACAACCTTGACGGTTACCCTCTTGTGTCGACACCGTCTTCTCGTCTTTCCGGCAAGGAAACAAGCAGCTGAACTCCGATCCAAGTGCTCTTAAAGCGTCACAAATTGTCACCGGAAAATGAACCCAACTCCTCTGCGGCGGCGAATATTCTTGATTTTGATTTTGATGAGTAGCATTTGAGCCAAGATTTAAACTTTCATTGAGATTTTGAGTTTTTGAAGCAAAACCGTTGAGGGGGTGTTCTAAGTTTCTGAAACTAACCTCGCCGGCGCTGTGTCTTCTTGATAATGTTCTGAGCTTTTTCGCTTGTTTCTTCTTGCTCTTCACCCTAACTTGACCAATGCAGGTGACTTTAGGTGAAGAGGGTTCCGGGTTCTCGAAACTGCCTCTCTTTTTGGCGGTGGTGGGGAACATCGCCGGCGACGCGCCGCCCTTGATGCTGCCACTGTTTCTGAGCCTACGACTGAGCGAGGTTGAGAGGGAGTTTGGTGGGTCTCGAGCTACCCCAGCTCGACCTGGACTCAAGATGGATTTGGATGAGATCTTCATGGTGTTGTCGTCAGAAAGCAATGTGGTGGTAGGTGGTGTGGTTAAGCGGATTACATTGGTTGTTTCCCGGTGGTGGTGGTTGTGGGGTTTGGTTGCATTGGTGGAAGGATGGTGAGGTGCAAGAGAGCAGTAAAATGGGCGATGATTGAGGATGATGATACGAAGATTTGTCTTTAGCAAGGTGCAACGATTGTAGACAGGGCAGAGTTAGATGACTAAATTACCCTTGATGTTTCACGAAATTTCTTTGCGTCCCAATTTTTTTGGCACTTCCGTAGATGACAGCTGCTTATTACCACGTCAGCCAAAAATAATTTACGATGGGTAACATGCATCGAGATATTTGGTCAAAGGACAAATATATGATGGGTTTTTTCTTTACACGAAGAAGATATTTAATTTATAAGATTTAAACCTCATGGTCATGGTGATAAAAAATCAAATTATCTTTTTTTTTTTCTACTTATTTGATAAAATAAATCTTAAAATCTTAATAATAATAAAAAAAATTAGTAGATTATATATATATATATATATATATATATATATATATATATATATATATATATATATATATATATATATATATATATATATATAGGGAGTGGTTCAAATGAAAACCACAAAAGATTAAGAACTCTAAGAACCTACATTAGTTAATAATATTTACATGATATTTTTATTAAACATGTGAAAATCTATTTTTGTTTGTCTTTTTGAAACAAAAAGGGAAAATTATAATTTTTGCAGTATAATATTTTCATTTTTATATGATCTCATATTTGAACATGAAACTTATATAAATTACAAGTTTATACATTCCATTTATTATTTAGTTCACAATTTAATACAAACCATTTTACATTAATTCACAAACTAAAAGAAATAAAAAATTCAAACTCTACAACTACTACCACCATACGCTGCCACCAACCATCTGTACCTGCATCGTAACCATCATTTTCTTTTAAATCAGATCTGTAAATAAAGTCATGCATTAATCGCTTAAATACTACATTCACATTCTAATAAAACAAATTATTTCACTCGTTTTGAATTTAATGCAAAACTATTATTAAAACTAATGTATTCTTAGATACTTATACAACACAGAAAATAAATATATTCAGAAGAAAAAATTATCAAAAAATTTATACATGAATCATTTATATTTTAAATTGTGAATTTAATATATTAAGTCATGAATAAAATTTACATTATTTCAAAAGCAAACACAAAAATTATAAAATAATCACAAGTTAATATCAATTCATTCACAACTTAATAAAGATCTGTAAATAAAGTCATGCATTAATAACTGAAATACTACATTCACGGTTTAATAAAACAATTTATTTCACTCGTTTTGAATTTAATGCAAAACTATTATTAAAACTAATGTATTCTTACACACTTATACAACACATAAAATAAATATATTCAGAAGAAAAAATTATCAAAAAATTTATACATAAATCATTTATATTTTAAATTGTGAATTTAATATATTAAGTCATGAATAAAATTTATATTATTTCAAAAGCAAACACAAAAATTATAAAATAATCACAACTTAATGTCAATTCATTCACAACTTAATAAAGATCTGTAAATAAAGTCATGCATTAATAACTTAAATACTACATTCACAGTCTAATAAAACAATTTATTTCACTCGTTTTGAATTTAATGCAAAACTATTATTAAAACTAATGTATTCTTACAT